TCAGTCTATTCTCCAACCCCTTCCCAGACAGATCTCAGGGCTCATACGAGGACACCACAGTCCTCTAGGCTTTGCCCTTCCCATCTGCCAAATGACAGCAAGGACACAGAGATCTCAAGAGCCTCTCCAGCTCACACCTCACTGGACGGAGAGCCCATCCAGCTCTCTGGAAATCCAGGCTTATAGGGCTGGCCTGAAGGCAGGGTCCTTGGTACCCTTGCCTGCTGACCACAACAGACCCACCTTGGTCTTATTCTGCGAGGTGGTGAGGGCGTCTACCAGCTGGTTGGTCATGAAGGTGCTCTCTGTCTCCAGGAAGCTGATGCCCTGGGGCTCGAAGATATGAATGTCCATCTGGAGGCAAGATGTGGGTCCCTGGGTCAGCCAGGAGCCTGGGCCGGGGCTCACACGAGGCCCAGGGGCAAAGAGGGGCCGTCCTCAGCAGGGCAAGGGTCATGCAGGAGGCCTCCCTGGAAGAGGCAGCAGCAGGTACCTGCAGATGCTTGACCAGCTGCTGGGGCCGCACTTTCAGCAGCAGCTCATACACCCCCAGACACCGCTTGAGCAGTTCCTCATAGACCAGCTCAAAGGTGATCTTGGCATTGGGAGCCACACTGACTGACACCTGGAACTGCTCCATGTTTCTCCCGGTGGCCCTGGGGGAGAAGGGCATCAGGCCTGCCCCTCCAGGACAGGTGGGGTAAGGCTGGTGGAGGTGGGGGCAGGGTTAAGGGCCAAAGGCAGGGTGGCCTATGTTTAGACCCTCTCCGCTGAAGCTGCCCCCTGCCAGCTCACTTGACAAGTCCAGCGTTCTTTCCCTTGGCCACTGCTGCGCTGTACTGCGCCTGGGCTTTGGCCTTCTCCTTGATGATCCCTGGGTAGGTCACGCCATCGATGATCCTGGGGGCAGAAGGGTGGGAGTTGTTGAGAGCCTGGTGCGAGGGTTCCATTCCACTCCTGCCTCCTCCAGAGAGCCTTTCTGGACTTGGTGTGCCTCTTGACACAGTGACTCCCATCTTTGCCTGAGCCCGGGGCCATTTATTATGCACCTACTGCATACAAGACTCTGCACAGGGCACTCTGCAAAGTGCGCCAGGCCTCTAGCTCCCAGAGGTGTGTACGGTAACAGTAAGCATTCATTTTATAGACGGGATGAAGGGGAGGCTGCAGAGGGGCAGGGCCGGGCTAAGTCCTGCCTTCTCTCCACCTGTCCAGTCTGGCCCAACTGGCCCACATTCCCACCTGCCCCTTCCACTTCACGGACCATTCCAGGGAACCAGTTCATCACCAGCAAGAGCTCTCCGAGCCACACTTGTTCCCAGCCCTGCGTGCAGCCATGTGGGGCCAGGACTGAGGAGGAAGGAGACGCAGGGCTGGAGGCTCTGAGCCCTTTCCGCCTACAGCAGTCTCCCCCTTCCCTCCCATAAGAGGCAGGCACCCTGCAGGTAGGCTGGCATATCTGGAGGGAGGTTTTGGACAACTAGTGGATGGGATTCCTGAGTGTGTGGACACACTCCTAGCAGCCATCCTTCGGGGGCTGAGAAAGAATGGCCCAGGACATTTCTCAGGGAGGAAAATGACTTCGCCAGAGCCTCCTTGTGGGGTAAGTAGGGATGTGCCTGGTCAACTTCACCTGCTCTATCTGTGGGTGGTATGGAAGTGTGGGAGTGTGTGGCAGTGGGCAGGAGGGGGAGCAGCCAGGATGTCAGGACTATGCGTCCCTCCTGCCTGATCTTCCTGGTTATAATTTAATTCCAGCCCCAGATGGGGCTGGTGAGTGGGCAGCGGCGCTTCTCCTCCTGGGTAGGCAGTGCTTGATCTCTCCAGATGCCCAGCTGGGGCTCCCAGCCAGGTCAGGGAGCAGGGAACCTGCCCTCTGCTCCCCTAACTCATGCAGCAACAGGATCTGGGTCCAGAGAATGCAAATGACAGTCCTGGGCTCTCAGCAGATGCAACGGGCCTGGACCTGGCAACTGCTGACCCTGGCATCCATGTCGAAGGCTGACACGGCCCCTAGGGCTTGCACTGCAAGCTGGGCAGCATAGGCCCGGGCTCTGGGTTAGGAAAAGTAGGGGCTGCTGTGGAGTGAGGGGTGCGTGGGGCCTGAGGGAGGAGACCAGTCCCCACTGCAGTTTTCCAGAGGCCCCAGTGTGGACCCTGCATGAGAGACACTCCTTCTCTGCCCCACGATCGCCCTCTCTGTTTCTGGGAAAAGCCTTACTCTTGTCCTAAATCACAGCTTTTCCTGGCAGCAAGGGACAGACAGCATCCTGGTGCATTTAGTAAACATTACAAAACTGAGTTGGGAAGGGTAGGGGAGGGTGGCAGAGGACAAAGTAAGGACCATCACTGGCTCACAGAGTTCAGAGAAACCTCAGGCATCTCTCATGCAGCCTGAGCAAAAATGTCCTCTGCAGGATCCCAGCTTGGGGCATAACTAGGAGAATCCTCCTCAAGCCACTCTCCACTGTGGGGAAGCCAAGGATCTAGGAGGTTTTCTGTACTTTGAGCTGGAATGTGCATCTCGGTGACTCCCTCTTGCCTGGTGTGGCCTCAGGAGGCCTCAAGTCTGTGCTCCTCAAAGGCAAAGCCACAAAGATGCTGTGGTTCTCTGCCTGCCACCTGGACAACACTTAGGGATGATGAATGGCTGGATAGAGGGAAGGACGGGGGCATCTTTGAGAACAAGTCCCTGTTCCCTGTGTGCCCCCCAGGTGCAGGGTGTACTCCTGAAGATGTACACCCTGGCATGCCTCACTTCAAGACGAGGGTTTGCTGGCACAGAGCAGATGGAGTCATAGCACTGGGGGGTGTGGAGAGGGGAGGAAGGTGGGAAGACACCTACATGGAGAAGTTGGTGATGAAGGCTTTCTTGGGCAGCTCCATCTGGAAGGTGGCCTCCTGCACAGTACTGGCCCTATTGACCACTCGGCTGGTGACGACCGTGTGGGCAAATCGGGACGAGACCCTGGAGTCCACGGTGAGGCTGTAGATGTCGATATCATTCTGGACCAGCAAAGAAGAAGGGGAGTTGCAGGGTTTCAATGCCACCTCAGCTCAGGGTGACACTCTTCAAGAGTCGGCCCTGACTCTGGCTCCAGACCAAACCCTGGCCCCCAGTCTGACTAAGCCACTGACCAGGCCTCAGGCTGAACCCAGTGAGGCATCTCCTATGTGAACATTTGTCTCAGGTAAGAGGTAGCTGTGTGCTTCATTCTCCACTCTATGGCACCACAGGGCAGGGGTCACGTCCTTCTTGATCTATGGGGGCCCAGAGCGCCCCTTGGAGAAGAACAAGCATGCAGGGAGTAGAGCTGGTGCAGCCGGGGCCAGTGTCTGGGAGGGCATCACACACAGCCTTTGGCAGGGGTGAGAGCCCTGGTGGGGTCAGGGAGCTTTGCACGCTGGCTTAGCTTTGCCCAGAAAAAGGGCAGTGACCAGGTCCTTTGATTTCTGGAGACTTTGGACTCTGTGGCAACAGGAAAGCTCCCATCAGTCTCCTACCAGGAAGCCCTGGGAGCTGGGAGAATTCGGAGGTAGACTAGAGTCTGGTCTCTAAGAGTCGGGAATCTTCCTCTCTGCTCCGCAGTGGGCCCTCCCCAACTCACCCCCTCTTCCGCAGGGCACTCCCTAGCATGTGCCATTTGCCTTGAGGCCTGTGTCCCCCGAGGAGGGGCACGCGGGCACCTCTTACCTGCTTGTGTGCGACATGCTCACGCGCACCAGCTCTGCTCGGCTGCATGCGGCTGCCTGAATGCAGTTTGGCACAGAGGTGCCAAGTGGCTTGTTTATGCGCTTGGGTATTTGCTCTGCGACAGGCACTGTCTTAAGCACTTAATAGGTACAACGGGTTTGGTTTTCACAACCACTACCCTTTGAATAGGTTCTAGTATTACCCTGTTTTACAGATGAGGAGACTGAGACATAGACAGAATAAATCACTCCCCTGAGGTCACTTACTAGAAAGTGGTAGAACCAGGCTCGTAAAACTGTATTTCCTCATTTGCAAAATGGAAGCGATTGGATCATCCCCTCTATTAGGTGGGAGAATACCAGTAAGGCCCTTGAGGTAGTGCCTGGCGGGAGGTCTGCACTATTTTTTGGCACACACACTGATGCACACGCACTTGCGCTGGACATGCTCGCACATGCGGAGGCTCTTCCCCACTTCCCAGGTGTTCTCTCATCCCCCAGCTCACGCCACACCCGTGGACACTGGCTACCTTTTGGGCGGTGGTGGTCTGGTGGATGGCCAGCAGTGAAAGCAGGACCAGAACTCTGCTGCAGGTACGGACAGGCCCTGGGGGCTTCATCGTGGCTCCAGCGTCTGCCAGGAGGCTTCTGAACTTGAGAGCAAGTGGGGAATGGATTAGTAATTTGTTTGCTGCCCCACCCACATGGGGGCAGGTTCTGGGAAATTGGGATCTACAAGCCAAAAACCACAGTGGCCTCAGATAAGCAAATGACGAATGTCCCGTGGACCTTGACTGGGGGCAGGAATGTATACTAAAGAAAGGTATGCTCAGGTTGGAGTGGGGAAGGTGCCCCTTCTGAAAGGTGCGAAACCTTCACCAGGACCCTTCACACCAGGCATTCCACCAAGCTCCACAGGGCTGGGAGGGAACTGACAGTGAAGAGGTCAGTCTGCTCTCCGTTAAGTCCAGCCTGGGGAGAAACAGGGATGGTGGGGAAGACTAGGGCTACAGGGCTACCCTAGTGGCTTCCTGGAGGAAGGGGGCTTGGCCACCAGGTAAGTGTGACTGGCTGATGGGAGGGCCCAAAGGCATGGAGTGACGCTGGGAGGTGTCTGTGTGGGGCAAGATCTAGAGTCAGGACAGATACGCCGTATTTCTGAAGTGAGAGGTGCTGGCACGGGGCGCCTCCTTCTCTCTCCTGAGGTCCCAGGCTGCTGTTTGGGTGCCATTGATCTAGCCAGGGCTTTAGGTTCAACCTCAGCAAGGCTCCCAAAACAAGAATGGCAATTAGGCAATACAAATGAGTCATAAAGCTGCCACATCCTGTGGCACAGAGGTCTCCACGTGGGGAGTTTATTGACAGGAGAGCATGGAACAGAAGACAGAGCTGATAGTGCCAGCAGCTCCGAGGGGTGACTGGGGTGGCGTCCGGTGGAGCGAAGGGAGCCCAGGAATTGCTGGTTGAGAGAGGGCAGAATGCCATTGTCGTGAGCAGTGTGACGCTGCCGCAGCCCAGACTCAGGGGAGTGCTGCCCAAGGGCCTGGGGTGGGTCCCGGCTTTACTAAAGTTGAAGCACTCTCCGCCTTGTAAAGTGGGATTGAGTGAGAACATATTATGTGCTCTGGGCGCTGCTGGGGTTAGCGTTCCCTGGTGGCTCTGCAGAAGCCAGCTCCTGAATCTGTGTCCACACATGGGTAAAGATGAGTCATAAAAATGTGGCCAGGTGCCAAGTCCTGGATCGGGGAAGGACGGCTCCGTGACACCAGCTCTGAGGGGGCCAGCTGCCTTGGGGACCTATGGGGGGTCTTGGGGCAGCCAGTGGCTTCCAGAGGCTGGGGAGGGTTTTCTCTACCAGTCCTGTCTCCATGAGAGGTGGTGGCAGGCCTGGGGCAAGGGTGCCATAGACTGGAGCTATTTCTACAGCTGCAGAGACGACGCTCCCCTTCCTCAGCATGACTGGCCAGAAGCCTCGTCTCTGCGCACGTCTCCACTGCTCACCTTTTTGGCTCTGGATATGATTGGGATTACACAGGGGAACACACTCCTTTCAGTGTCTGGGGGAAGAGTCTCCCCATGGGGTCCAGCAAGTAGGACCAGGCCCTTCCTCACAGCAGGTCTGCTCCCTTGGGGCACAGAGCACAGGCCCAGCCCGGACCCAGGGCTATATTAGGAGGCCAGGCTGGCCGGGACTGTGGGAAAGGTTCTGGGCAGCCAGAACCTCCTGGGGCAGGAGGGCATCCCTAGCAGGCGTCAGCCCTGAGCCAGGCACCACAAGCCCAGGCTCTGCCAGTCCAGCTCCGAAAGGAGCCACGGTCAGCCTGTCCATGGTCATAGTCTTGCCATCAAAACAGGACAGGCCTCTATGGGTCTTCTGAACCTGGCAGTTCCAGGCACATGGGGGACAGAGGACTGCAGAGGGAAGGGTCATGCAGGCTGAGAATCTGGTGTTCCTATGCCCCAGGCAGCCTGGTTGGAGCAGACTGTGGGAGGCTTATCCCCGCTGTTTGGAAGAGACAGTAGCTCAGGACACTGACTGCCAGAGAGGAATCTCAATCTGGCTTTGCCTTGGAGGGGACAAAAGCTGGCAAGGTGGCAGTGTGAACCAAAGTGCAGGGAGAGGGGTTTGGAGGTCCCCAGGTGCTGCAGAGCCTGCCGGCCCTCAGAGGCTTCTCAGCAGCTTCTGTGGAGGGCAGGGGGAGAGGTGGTCTCTGAGACCCCACCCACTTCACTCTGAGCAGTGTCATCATGGCCTGCTTTATGGAATAGGCTCCAGCTCAACTCCCCTGTAGTACAAAAGGGGAAACTGAGGCTCAGAAGAGTCTGAAGTCACAGGTCAGCACCGGGTCTCCACGTCCAAGGCAGCATGTGGCAGTGGCCATCATAGCACCTGTGCTATCCCCTAGGATCCTCCCAAATGGACATGTTCCATGTTCCCACCCTGTCCTCCCTCAATAGTGGCCAAAGCCAGGGACCAGCCAACACCTTCCGACCGCCGGGGCCACACGGGCATCCTCTTTATTGGTGCTTCCAAGGTGCTGGTGCGGAGCCCTTGGTCGAAGGGCCAGGACTGTGGGGGAGGGTGGCAGCCCCAGAGACAGCAGGGGCGAGGAAGTGCTCTGGCATAAAAAAGAGTTCCTGGGAAAGGCTCCTGTTTCTGAGCATTCGGGCAGCAAGGGGAGTGGTGCGCATTTCTCAGCCGAAGACACTCTTGGCGGGTCCGGCTTTGGGCTTCTCAAAGACAGTCTCGGTGCCTGTGCGGGTGCGGCTGAACACCGAGGGGGCGGCCGAGCCAGCTTGCTCTGTGGGAGGAGGCAAAGTCAGGGGCCAGCCTGGCTTCCCGGGAGGGAAGGTCCCTTATGATGGGTGCACCCTTTCCTGAGTCCAGGAATACTGGATTCTCAGAAAAGGATCCTTGACCACCTCCCCCCACCAGACACACACCTGCACCCCCACCCCCAGCCCCAGATGGCGTGAGGACACTCACCACACTCCCGCATGACCTGGTAGGTCTTGGACTTGATTTCTTGGTTCTTGGTCAGATTTCCTCGGGCCCCCTTCAGGTCCTCCTCCTTCACAGGGGGACGCTTCTTCTTGATAGGGGCTTCCTGAGCACCAGCCTTGGAGATCCAAGAGCCTTATCTTACTACCCGAAGTCTCGAGGCGGGGACACCTACCTCTGTGCCTTGGCCCAAACCTCTCTTCTCTGTTCACTAAACCCAAGCCTATTCAAGGCTCTACTCCTCTTCCACAGAAAGCCTTCCCAACTATGCTCCACCTGCTGCAGGTCTCCCAGCTGTCTTGGTCTGACTTGACCATGTGCCCTTCCCCTATAGCCTGGGAGCTCCTGGGAGCAGTGGCTGCTGCAGCCTCATACTGGTGTGTCTGTCTGCCTGGCCAAGCTCAGGGCTGGGCACAGTGGGGAACGGTGAAGGGGACTATCTCTGAGGTTGGGCAATACTAGGGCATTTGGTTATTTCCAAAACCTGCTCACTGGGTGCCAAGGGGTCCCTCAAGGATTGCCCAAAAGCGCCAGTATTTACTTTGTGTCTTTGGGGCTGGAAATGGGGTAGAAGGACCAGATGCCCACAGAGTTACAGTCCAAAGTGGCCACCCACCCACGGAGCAGGCAGCAAGGACAATCCTCTCCCTTGGCAGGCTGGTTTGTCCCTCCAGGGTGGGGGACACCCAGGCTCAGTGTTTAGCCTACCCCTCAACCCCAGGCGCCTGTGAGTCTGAGACCTGCCTGTGCTTGGGTGCAGGTGCAGGCATTTCCTCCGTCAGCCTGGGACAGGCTCCTCAGAGCAACACACTACACCCCTGCACAGGGATGCACCCAGCTGTGCCCCTCCAGCCTCATGTGCACACACATACAGCTTCATGCATATATCATACACAGAGACAGACAGACCTATGTGTGTAGCTACACACAGCGTGCATGGCTGCAGGGGCCATAGCTACAAATGCACAAAGCTCTATACACTGAGTTACAGCAGCAGCACACACATGCATGCACACAAACGCGCCCCCCGCCCACACACACAGGCACATGCAGAGAGCTATCTAAGCCCCCACCCCTAACATTTCTCTCCACTCCTCCTAACAAACCATGGAATACCACCAAAGCCACACAGAAGAGGGGTTCTTCAAGGGGTCCTCCCTGAGCCCCCATCTCCCAAGGGCTGTAGAGCCTCCAGTTCATGCTTGGGGCTCAGTTCAAGACACAGCTGCCAGAGCCGAAAGTGTCCAGGACTCCACCTCCACTCCCTCTGGCATCAACACAGCCCATGCTGGGCCCTCCTACCTGGGACATGGTGGGTATTGTGTAAGCGCTGGGTCTTTGAAGGTGCCTGTCTGGCAGGCAGCAGCTGCTGGAGAAGGTCTGAGCGGAGCCCAGCCTTCTGGAACTTATATAGCCTGCTTGCTTGTCCCGGAGAGCCACTGCCCCTCCTCCGGCAGGCTCCCTGATGATTCAGGTCCGCAGGGTCGCTGGCTTCAGAGTTTATTCTCAGCGATGAGAGGGGCTCCGAGTACTGCTGCCTGGGGGTTGCAGCCCTGATGAAAGCAGATGGCTGCAGAGACCCTGTGCCTTCCCGGACAGCTGCTTGATTCCCCCGGGGGAGGTGCTGGCACTGGTGGACTTGCTATGTGTTTACGGATGTGGGTCCTGGAATGTGTGACCATCTGAATTGTTCCTCTGCAAGGGTTCATCCCAGTGTGTGGGGTGGGTGTGGGGTGTCCCTGAGGGAACGGAGGGCCCTAGCCGGCTTGGACTGCTCCAAGCTTGTTTTTCTTCCTCTTCCATCCCTTCCCCTGGATTCCAGTGGAGAGATTTTCCATCCCTGCCTGGTGGTAGAGCAGGAGCTTCCCGTGTCTGCTCCCTTTGCTCACGGCAAGCTCACTGGGCCCTGACAGCAAACCCAGAGAGAGAGGCTGCCGCAGGCCCACAGGTGGATAGCCTGAGGTACAGGGGCCTGGGGAGTTGCTCAGCAAACCCAGAGAGAGAGGGGCTGCCGCAGGCCCACAGGTGGAGAGCCTGAGGTACAGGGGCCTGGGGAGTTGCTCATGGTTTTGCTGATGTACTTGTCCTCTGTCCCATTCCAACTGCAAGTTCAGCGAGGGGGAGTAAGGGGTCTAGAAAGGACTAGGCAGGAAACCATGCTCGATGGTGAGGGCACTGAGAGAAGTGGGAGGCAGGCTCAGGCTCAGGTCTCCGACTAGGTGCGGCCACCACAGGGGGGCTGGCCTGCAGGACAGTTTCAGTTGGGGGACAGTGAAGCCCACTCCAGGTATTAAGCTGCGGAGACAACAGGCCCAATCGCTCCCCTGGAAGGTCACTTAGCTCTTCTCTGCTAAAAGCTCCTAACACACTCCTCCTTGCAAGGGGAAGATCCCCCAGGGCACAGGACAGGACCCTAAGTCTGGAGTGGGTGTGGGGAATAGGTATGCACAGGAGGTTGGGGCCCTCCCAGTGACAGACATATCTAAGTCCTTTTCAGTTTATGGAGATTATTTTTATCCTTGAAGGCTCCAGGCAGATGGAACCCAACCAGGCACTGACATTTGGTTATCCCAAATGCCACTCCATTGCAGTCATACTTTGAACCCCACCCCAATATACCTCCTACCATCCTGGCTCCAGGAGGCCAATGAGAGGACTGCCAGGCTTGATCTGAGACAAGTGCTGACATGAGGAATGCCCAGGATGTGGCACATGGGCCAAGAGGCCGCCGAGGGCAGGCCAGGCCTCGTGGGGGCCTTCCACTAGCTCCAGGGGTGCCCCTGCAGATGGCACCTGACGCTGACGCTCTGCCCAGGGACCTGCCTTCCAGCCCCGCAGCCTCAGGGACGAGGATGTGGGCTGCTCACTGCTTATACTCTACCTCCCCAACATGACATCCTCCTCAGAGACGGACTTGCTTTAATTCTCACTAGCGAGGAAGTGGAGATGGACATGGCAAGAGCATGTTTGGGTTTTCCCTGGGCAGATGCGGGCTCCCACTCCTGCCATGAGGCTCCGTAAGGTTCCTTCTCACTCTGGTCTCTGGGGAGAACTTTCTAATTCACAGGGGAATCTTTTTTGACCCTGCCAAGCTGTTTCACCTCCAGAGAACACACAACCAACAACCACAAATGTGATGGCTTCTTTTTTTAAAAAACTGTAATAAGATGCCAAACTTTATTGTAAACCATTTTACAATGTAAGTACATCATCTCTTTCATTTCAAAAAAATGTTTCTGTGAATCCTACCACCACCGATTAAGCACCCCCACTGGATGGCTGCTGAAGTGGGCCATGGTTTTGCTCGCATAGGTCTGACTTCTAACAAACTTCAGGAAAAGAAAAATCAAATTTAAAACAACCCAACCAACCAACCACCAACCAACCCAGGAGCTCAAGGTGCTCGTGGCAAGTCAGACCGTAAGTCCCTTACCGAAAGCCAAGCCCCTCAGAGCTGCCAGTGTTTCACAAAGTGAAACAGAGAGCTCTGCACTCTCAGCCGCAAACGTGTGAAACTTCTAAAAGCCAGCCCCACACTCTACGAGGCAGCTGCTCTGGCCGGTGGGAAGCTCCTTGTACTGCCTATCTTAGCCTGGCTGCGAAAAGGCCAGTGAACTGCAAGGGCAGAGTGGGCTGCCAGCTGGGCGCTGTTCCCTCCAGGGTTCTGAGGCAGCCTTTGGACATAAACTTGGGGCTGCAGCCTACAGGCTTACACTGCCTAAGGGAAGTCACAGCTTGGATTTGAGCCTTTTAACATTTTCCCTGAAGAAAGAGGCATGACAGGTGACATTAACCCATGACTCCCTGTTGCCAGGGAAGACACAAGTTAAAACTTGAGGAAGGAGACCACCAGCATGGCCGAGGGGCCACAGACCCTCCTCTTGCATGTGTGCAAGCTGAGTGGACCAAGAAGCCATCACCACCTGGGATCTCACCAACATCCCCCCTTGCCCCCGGGGTTGCCATTGTCAACAACCCTCTGACAGCAAAAGGAAATAACAGTATCAACCACCTCTTCCATTTGGATATGACAGTTCTACCTCATTAGTTTATTTCCAATAGTTACAAGAAATTTGTTCATGACCTTGACTTGCAAGGTTCCATCACAGGTGGCTTGGCTGAGGTCCAGATTTGGACAAATCGGATTGATAGCACACAATATCCAGTCAACGTCCCATCATTTCTCAACATGGTGATGGATGCCATGTGGCCAGGTGAAGAGCTGCACCTCGTAAGGCACCTTGGAGCAGGTGGTGAGGAAACTCATCCCAGGGAGGGAGGGCAGCTCGGGAGGAAGTCCTGACCACAGCCCTCTGATGTGCTCTCATGGGATGGTGCACCACGGAAGAGCCCCCAGTGACTGCAGGAGGCACTCCTGGGGATACAGATTTGTGTGTGTGCACACACACATATACACGAGAAAGGGAAGGCCAAACACGAGAGGTGCCCTATGGTGAGACACCCTATTAGACCCCCATCCCCTGGTCAGCCAGCTACTAGCTGCAGCCCAGAGACTAAAGCCCTTTCTGAAAATCAGGATACAGGGAAAAACCATCACTCCTCAGCTACCTCTTTGTTCCCCAAACCCACTGCTCCCTGGGAACTGGGCCGAGCCTTCAGATGAGACCATCTGAGGTTTACATAACCCAGGGTTTGTTTCACAGCTTTCACAGATTATGGCTCTTCTATCCCCTGCCCTGTTTGGAAACATTAGGAGCTCAAGACTGAACATGAAGCTCTGATTGTGAGCTCCAGGAAGGTGGAAGAAACAGCTGCAGGCACAGGTTGTTCAAACCAAAATGAAACAGGAGGGGAGGAATCAGAACTGAGTCAGTGATGCCATGAGCGCCTCTTAGGAACATGAGTTCCTGACCGTCCTGTCAGGAACATGAGTCTTGGTCTTCCCAATGCGACTGAGAATGGCCTGGTTCCAGCCACTCTTCCCCACTAGAGAGCTGCTGGGGGAAATACTGGCTACCATAGCTATGGATGGGAGGGAGCACAGAGTCAGTCTGAGCAGGAGCGACACCGGCAAAATTGCCTCCTACCGCAGTTACAGTCCCTGCTCCTCTCGGCATCCTGGCTCTGCACTCCTGGCGGAAGATGGGCTGAGAAGGCCTCCCTGATGTTCACCTTCAAGTCCAGAACAGGCAGGACTCTGAGAGGCAGACGGCAGTCCCAGGGTACCTGGTTTAACAGCTGGGTTCATGCGCCACAATTCGGACCCAATGTGCTTAAGTGAAACACATGTTCATGCAGTTCTAAAAGGAAGGTTCTAAGTGGAGTGGCCTCCTCTGCACTTGTCTCACTTAAAGTCCAGCCTGTCTCCCTTCTAGCCCACACCTTAGCAGTGTGGCTTCCTGTTCCTAACCATCCGTGGCCACCTCTGAGCTTGACAAACCACTGAGCAGTGCCCCTACCTTGCTGCTTCCACAGCAGGGAAACTGCCGGGGTCAGCCCATTCCACAGTCACTCAGGAAACTCCCAAAGCCACAGGGGCCTGTAGCCATGCTGAGGAGTAGGGGCCACTCCTCAGGGAGGGGACTCGGCCTAGAAGCACCTTGCCCTGCCTGTGGTTTAGAGAGTGAGCTCTCTCACCCCTGCCTGCCTTAGCCACCTCAGCTTTGGAGGGCGAGAAAAACAGGATCACTTTGTGAGGCAGATGTTCTCCAGAATGCTGTGCAAAACAAATAGACGACACTAGGATGACAGGTACTAGGGCAGCAGGAGAGGAGGTTCCTGGTGCTGCGTCCAGAGGCTGGCTCTGAAGGCTGCAGCAGTGGGGGCTGAGAGGCCAAGACCACTTTAAATCGTGATTAGAGGCTCTGCAGACAGGCAGACCACACTGGAGTCTGGTAGTCTTGGGTCCTCTGGACACAAAGACCTCTTAGCTAAGCTCCTTTCTTGGTCAAATTTAACTAAGACCTCTAATCTGCCAGCAGGAACACTAGAGCTCGCCGGCCATGGACAGAGCTCTTCCTGTTCCACACACTCTGCAGCTCCTGGATCTGCATCCAGACCAGTTGCTCTAAGCTTGGGTCTGATCTTCACAGAACCACTGGGTTTGCTGATTCTAGAGAAGAGCCATCCTCCTTCCCTCCCCAATCATTTGTCTCATCTTATCATAGGGCATCATCTAACAATATTCCAAATAAAAAACTCCCGACTTTTTCCTCCTGCCAGCCCACACCCCATGAAAGGCAAATAAACCCATTTCTTTGGGGATTAAAAAGAGTTTTTAAATACAATAGTATGAAAATATAACTTAAAAATATAAAAGT